ATATATATATATACCAGATGTATAAGCTTAAATCCGCTGTTTTTTAGTCAGAAAACCACTTTTTTTTTCCTAGGAAGCAAAAACAAATTTATTCAAAGTACTTACCCTCGCTAACTATATTCTTCCCATCTTTCGGGCAATTTGTGTATTTCACACCAAAAAAATTCCTCATCTTTCAAGGCAAACCATTCATTTTCGGACGTCTTCGTAAGAATCGAAGAACTGCTCAGCGAGCGCGTGGCTATTTGACGAAAACAGATGATAGTCAGAAGGTGCCAAATGAGTAAGCGGGATGGGGTAACACTTCCCAGTTGAGTATCTCTGAAGTAGTTTTGGACTATTGTTGATGTGTGTGATGGTGCGTTGTCGTGGAGGAAAATCAGCTTGTCATGTCTTTTCCAATAATGCAGCCTTTTTTTACGCAGAGCACGGTGCAATTTGATCAGTTGTTGGTGGTAGCAGTGAGCATTAACAGTTTCACCAGGTTTTAACAGCTCGTAGTAGATGACACGTTCCTGATCCCACCAAACGCAAAGTATTATCTTCTGTCCGAAGCGATTTAGTCTGAGAAAGATGTTGATGGTTGGGCGAAATCAACCCAAGATTTCTTACGTTTAGGATTCTGAAAATAGATCCACTTTTCATCGCCTGTCACAATCCGATGCAGGAACGACTTTTTTTTTTGTCTGGCAAGCAGAATTTGGCATGTGTTTTGGCGTCACTCCATCTGTCTATTGTTCAGTTCATGCGGCACCCATTTTCCGATCTTTTGAACCTTTCCCATGGCATGAAGCTGCATGGAAATGCGGCCAATTGCTCGGCAAGCATTTTTTGGGATTGGATATCGTCCTCGTACTAAAGAGCTTGCAATTTACAGTCCTCAACTTTCCTAGGCCGATTTTCATGCTTCTTGTCATTCAGGTCAAAATTGTCGTCATTGAACCGGCGAAACCAATCTCTGCACGTTTCCGATAAAGCATTGTCGCCATAGGCCTTTACGAGCATTCGATGCGATTCGGCAGGCGATTTCTTCAAATTGAAACAGAAAAGCACAGCTTCCCGCATATTTTTTTCTTTCGTAATCATGTCTAGTTTTTTAGCAAAAAACTAGACATGATTACGAAAGAAAAAATGTATGTAGTTGGGTGAAATTGCTGATGATGTGCACTGGTTAATGTTGACAGATGTCAAACACATAAAAAAAGTGTATTGTGTGCCCAGGGTAGCTTTGTACGCTCACTAATGCCACTTATGAGCAAACAGCGGATTTATGCTTATACACCTGCCACCCCATTTTGGAGATTTATGGGAGGCAGCATAAAATGTGCCAAATACCACATGACTTCCATTACTTCAGCTCGAACAAAAAATTGCAGTCGCACGAAATGAACTGCAGAAGACTGCGCCATCCGAGCGAGAACGACAGGAGGCAACTCGAATTCGGCAACTATAACAACCTGGAACGAATGCCATTCATAATATATATCGATTTGGAGTGTGTTCTAAAAAGGATGGGATCGGAATATCAACGATACAAAATGTTTAATAGCGCGTATTACATGCACTGCTCATATGACAACTCATTGTTGATGAATCGATGTCGTCGTGATGAAGATTATATAGCGTGATTCGCATGACAATTCAACGATTTGATTCATCGCGTAAAAAATTTGTAGGGCCAACGTGCTCATGGAAGTTCATGGAAGCAATGGAAGGCATATCGTAAGTGCGATCATTGTCACTTAATCGATAGATACCGTAGTGCCGCACATTCAAATTATAACTTAAATTATAAGAATTCATCTTATATTCCAATCATATTTCATAATTTATCGGCCTACGCGCATTTTATAATTAGAGAAATCGCTATCATGTACGATGGACACATGTAGATGTACTACCGATTACAAAAGAAAAATACATTTCGCTCACTAAACATGTCAATAACACCAAAGACAAACATAATTTTCAGAAAATTGCGTAAAATTAAGGTTCATTGATTTTTATAAGTTTCTAAATGCAAGTCTCGATAAATTGTCGTGTCTCAACAAAGACTAATTAAAAATTGTACGTTCCAAATTTTCAATACTATCAGACGAAGAATTTGAATAACTAACGTGTAAAGGGATCTCTCCAAGTACGTTGACTGCATTGAAAAATTGCAGGACCCGCGCGCGCTTACCATCGCGCGAATTATTTTTCAGTTCGTTGAAAGGTGACCGTATCTGACAGCGATTACGCTTGAGCCGAGAAACGTCTGGCAGCGACTCTCCATTTGCACGCTCGGTGAATACAGAGATCTGTACTTGAAAACAGTTATCTTGTTATTAACCAACATTTAACCACAGTTACGGCTTCGATTCTACGCACTACACCTTACTTAGTTTCACGTAAGATGCTATGTTAAAACATGCGCGTAAAATTTGAGTTGTTCACCGACATCGACATGATCATATTCATATATTCGAGCGCGGCCTACATGCGATGGCCTCAGTCAATGTTCGGACAAATATACGCAGGCTAATAACAAGTACATCCATTCATAAAACTCATCGAAATCATTGTTGTATTACGACCTTATGTACTACGAAACCTTATGTACTATGACGTGAATAATTTATACGGATGGGATATGTCAACTATACATTGCCATATTCCAAATTTCAATGGGTCGAAGAGGTTGCGAACTTTGACATAAGCGCGATCACGGATTCATCCATTAGTTATATTCTCTTCGATCTCGAGTATCTGTAAACATTTACATGATCATTCTGCCTAACGCGCGATAAATCGCGTTACGTCATCCACTATCATAACTTGCAGCAATGTACTCGTCACGGTTTTTGCGTAACAAAGATCCACCGGGTGTTGC